GGCCCCTGTGCTTCCCATGCCTTCTGGCCCTGCCTCTGTGCTATTCGGTGCTCATCTGGTTTGCAGCCCCTGTAGAATGCCCTTTTCCAACCTCCCTCAAGTCCCAGTCTCTGTCTTCTGGAAATCCTGACAATGCTTGTGCCCTGGTGCTCCACACACAGCTCACGTGAACCTTACCGAGCCACACTCTTCTCTCCATCCTCTTAACCCAGTGTCTGGTGTGTGTCACATGGGAGGCGAGGTGTACCTCTGTGTTTCTGCGCTGTCACAGTAAAGGTCACAGAATAGTAGAGCTGGAAAGGACACTGCAGTCTAAGGATGTGGTTACAAATGAAGCCTTCAGCTTTCCTAGCCCATTAGAAACAAAGTAGATAATGATGAGGCTGCTGTGTCAAAGGGAGGCCAAGAACCTGTTTGCTCAGTCTTCCTCTCCTCCTCCAAAAGGCCCTTGAGGCTTTTTGCGGAATAGCACACATTGCAGAACACACTTTGAAGACCACCGGTCTCGCCAGGCTCTCTCATTTCATAGGTGAAGAAATTAAGTTTCAGAGATTCAGAGGACAGTGATTTGGCCAAGGCTCCCACAGTGCTACTTGAATTAGTCTCTGGCCACCTTGCCCAGCCCTACGCCATGCATTTCACATATTGGGTGCGCAGACATGCTGGGTAGTGACAACAAGGAATAATTCGGAAGGGTTGAGTGATTTTCTAACGGATCTTACATTTGCGATTAAAGAAATGTATGTGGCATTGTTGTTTCTTGCGTAATCCTCAACCCTAGACGGCTCAAGTCCTAGGGGTAGGATGAAGAATGGCAAAAAGGGTCACTGGGCGTGAAGTTCAATGTCTCTGTTGGGCACTGAGTAGTTTGTCTTGGCTTTGACCTGAAATTTCTTAGCTTTCTCTTCTAGGCCCTCGCCAGCTTGGGTCAGATGAAAGGGTCTGTATGTTTTCAACAACCAAGTATTAGAAAAAGACTGCTGGAAAGTCTTTCTGTTTTGTTACCTAAGCTGGGATTTGATCTTCAGACCTTCAAGGTGAAAGGCTAATACCTTAATTTGTGTGTTTTATAAACATCCCCAGGCGATGACCTTCTTGTAGCCTCATGTGATACTCACATTCTGCAGGACTTAAAGCTAAAAATCCTGGCTTGGAATAGAGTGGTACAGGTTGCATACTCAAATTCAGAGTCGGCAGGGTGCCATCTCTCCATTAGCTGTTGGTAAGCATTGCTTGCATATAGTTGAATGAAAGCTTTCTTGGGGGGATTTCCTGGCAAAATGGAATTTTTTAGTTTAAGAGAAAATATATCTTAGGGTTAAAAAATTTTTTTCCAATGGGACCTGTGTCCAACAAAGTAAGGTGTTTCCCCTTGAAGCTTTTCCCTTCCTAAAAGCTTTCCTTTAAGGGTCATCTTTATTTTTGTGGTGTCAAATTATTTTTCAGCAGCATGGAAGCTGGAGACAGAGACGCTCCTCGGCTGTGTGTTAGAACCACACTGCAAGTTTCTTCTTTTATGTAAATAGAGATTGATGGAACATTTTACACAGAGTACGGGCTTTTGACAAAAAGTATTGATGGTTGCTTTCAGTAAGTGTTACTTGAGATGACAGAACATTGCATTTTAAGATGAATTACACGAGAAACTCCCTCTTTGGGAATGTCATACATTTTATTTCATCTGTTGTTTTATGAGAGAATGACTGAAGTCATGAATACCTTAGACTGAACTGTTTCCTTTGCACATTATAAGTCCCGGTTTGGTGCACTCCTATTTTAAATATAAAGTTATGGGGAAAATATTTATACTGGCAAATAATATTGATAAAAATGCTTAAATGTTCAGAAGCAGAACATAACTTCTCACATGGTTTCCCCTTGTGTGGTGGTGATTTGTGGGAAGCCTGGGAACCTGGTTAAAGTTAAATGTATATTTTTTCAGAAGGATCTCAGAGATTTCTGATAAATGGCTCTTTTTCTTTTCTTTTTTGGTGTGTTGATAATTTCTCTCTCCTGACTGTATATGAGTTTAAAAAATGTTCCATTTCCATGTTGTTATTTCTTCTTGATGCAAGGACCTAGACGTCAGGGTCTGTGGTGACTGTGGCTTGGGGCCTTAATTTTCTTTATGGCATGAATTCAGGGATATTAGCTTAATGGCACCAGAGAGTTAATGGGTATTAACGTATTTACTATATATTTACCATACTGGTATACCAGGAACTGGGGATATAGTCCTGATCCTCATGTTGCTTACAACCCAGTAAAAGAGAGAGAGAGAGGGGGGAACATAATATAATTTCAGGTAGTGATACATGCAATGAAGAAAATAAAGCAGAGGGTAAGGAGTTAGTGTCTCAGAGGAGTAGGCGTGGGAGTGATTTTAGACAGAGGTGTTAAAGAAAATTGCTCTGAGAAGTGGTATCTAAGCAAAGAGCTGAATGATCTTCAGCTGAATGGTTTGAGCTCTAAAGATACCTGGCAGAGGGAGCAGCATGTGCAAAGGCCTTGGGGCCAGAACAAGCTTGGCATATTTGAGGAACAGCAAAAAGGCCAGTGCATTTCAGAGAAAGCAATGGTGGGAGTGCTCCAAGTGTAGGGGTAGACACGGTAGGCCATGGGGTAGACAGGGAGGCCAGTTACAAGTGGATTGTGGTTTTGCATGCTTTTCCAGCATGTATAGCTGTAGTCTTCTTGTTCATACGATCTTCATCGACCTAAAGTCTGACTGAGGAGGCTTTCCCATTTCTCCATTGCTCATTCCCATAGAAATATCTCATTTTCCCATTGGCACTCTTGTTCTACCATTCACTGGTTGCCAATATAGATAAAGTTGGTCACTAGGGGAATTTTAAACTTTCACTCTCTCAGAATGAATCCTTCTTTTAAATCTGATCTCATACTTTGAATATTACTCTTTGACAATGCTTATCCCACACTATTATAATTAGTTGTATATGGGATTGTCTTTCTAAGCCATAAGCGACTATTACTCATGTTTGGGCCCCTTGTGCTTAGCACAGTACTTGGCACCTGGTGAATGCCCCATATATTTGTTGGCTAAATAAGCAAGACCTTTCCCTCCACATTATCTGGTTGCCCAATATGAGTACTAGAAATTGCAGTGAATGCAATGTCAATACACTCCTTGATTTTGTAGGTTAAAACCAACTCAGGGAAATAAGACTTAAAAAAAAAAAAAAGGAAAACAACAGTCTTGGAACTGCTTTGGGGCACTTATTAGAGTTTAAACAGTTGTTGGTTTAAAAAATTGTTGCAGAAATGAAAACTCATGGAGGATTAAGTGGCCCAGGAGACTGTAGTGTTCTAACTTGAGGGGGATGGAATCCCCAGAGGCCAGCTGGATCATTAGACTGGGTCTTTCCTGCATTTGAGTCTTCATCCCAAGGCCTTATGAGATACTTCGTCCTCCATAAATTTGGAGCTGATTTGGAACTAGCTAGCTGTTTTTCTCCCTGCTGAATTAATGTGCTGTTCAGCTGAAGCTCAAATATGAAATATATTAAAAGCAAACTAAAAACAGGTCAATGTTTTGCCTCTAATGCTATGGGAATATTTGTTTTTAAATCGTCTTTTAGTACTCCACAAATCTTCCCCGCAAAGTTTTTTTTTTCTCTCTCTCTCTTTTTTTTTTTTTTTTAGGCCAAGACTATTTTTTCCCAGTGTGTAAAAGGCCATTTCTTAAGTCCTGATTTACTCAGAAATTTACATAGAGAAAATGGCTCCAGATCCCACACAAGTGAAACTTTATTTTTTAATCTGGGGCACAGTAGGGAGTCCTGAGAAATGCATTTTCCTCTAGGATTGTAGGAGGAATACATAGTGTTTGTTTAAAGCATCAGGTATTGAGAAATGTAATGGCAGGGTGAAAAGTTTGACCTCAGCTGCCAGATCCGATCTGCTAGGGGGTAATTGAGTTGCCATGTTTTTTTCCTCTTCAGTTTAAATCAAGTTTTGCTATAGCCCATTTAAGTGTCAAATTGGTAGCAAAACTTGACAACTTCAGGGTGCAGACTTGCTTTTGATCAGAATTTACATGCAAATCATTTTTGCCTTGAACTGTCAACTCCTGTTCCTGATACTCTTGAGAGGGACATGTCTCTCCCCACCCCCTTTCTCCCCAAGCCAAAAGGGATGTTGGCTAATGTTATTAATCAGTGTGGAAGAAAAATTATCTTGATAAATATGGTGGTTAAACTATATTTTCCCTTTTGTGTGTCGGCTGTTGCAGCTGGGCATTTAATCTCCTTTTACCTAGAAGGAAATCAAACAATTATCGAGCGCTTGATGTCAAAAAGAAACTAGTGAATGAGGGGTGGAGGGTCACCAGTGTATTGGGAAATGGACTTAAGCCACCAAAACCTGACAAAGGGTGCTGACAGTCTGCATTTTCTTGGGCATTAAACAAAGTCTTTGGTAACTTTAAAGAATCTTTCCTTGCATGACTAAACTCATTGAGAGGGTTAGAGAGAAAGCTGCCTCAGAAGTCTTAAGCCTGAAACTTTTTTTTTTTTTGGTTCTGCCCTAAACCCTTGGGACGCTTAAAAGCACGTGAGCATATGTAGCTCCATCATTCAGTGGGACAAAGGAGTGTTTGCACTTTCACAGAGTTAATAATGACAGTAGTGAGTCTTTCTTGTTTCCAGCCATCCCATCTTAGCATTCCCAGTCACCCACCTTCCAAAAGAATTTGTGATTTACACTCTGCCTCTAAATTCTTTGAAATGCCTCACTCTGAAAAGCAAGAAAATGGGGAGACCCCAACGAAGAAAAAACAAATGGAGAAAATGTTCATTGTGGATTAATAGAGCTGATTATGAATATTTATAATTATCCATTATGGAGCCAAAACTTTTAGTAAAATAATGTGTGAGATTTTGTTTCTAGCCAGCCTGAAATTCCTTTCCATCACTACACCCCCAGCGGGGTGAGAACATCAAACATGTCATCTTGCCAAGATGACAGCCAGCATCACGTCAGATGGGAGACACATGCAAGCTGGACTTGTGAAGTCCAAGAAATGTCAAGATTGGATTCACTTCATCCGACGTGGCCACGTTGCAGGTTCTTTGGAAATCTCCACTACTGGCCCCTTCCCACCACTGTTTGGTGCTGCCTGCCTGTGTGCTGTGAAATTTTAATTGAATTGTTAATGACACCAAGGAGTGACACAACACATGCGAAACTTCCAAGAATCAGTCAGGAGGAGCCCTTTTTCTTACTGTTACAAAACAGAAGACACTGGGAAATTGACAAGTCCAAGCAGCGAGGCCAGGGCAGTAATTGATAGCAGGCTGCCTAGAGCCAAGGTCCTTCCCTGGTAATTGCAAGCAGAGGCTGCCTCTGTGATCTCGCCAGTGGTGCTGGCCATGCCAGAGCGACCCGGCTTTGACGGATTGCTTTCCCGAGGTAATGACTTAGGCATGTTCCCTCTCTTGCATGAGGCCATGTGTCCCTCCCACTGGAGAAAATGAGCTGAACATTTTGCTTCTTCTTTAACAGGGCGCTGTTAAAATAACTCTATTCTATTATATAAGCCCTGTAGTGCCAGGGGCTAAATTTATATGGTTATAAACAAGAGATATTACTTTGGAATACCACAATACTGTGTTTGGCTATTTCTTTAGGATTTCAAATGGTGTTTTCAAAATAATGGATTTTACTTCAAGAAAAAAAATATTGGGGTTGGGGGGAGGAAGGATCCCATTTCTGAACAAAATCCTCATCCTATTTTTAAATTCCTCCGTGACCCTTTCCTAATTCACCAGCCCAGTATTTATTTGTATTTGTGTTTTGCTGGCTGGATTTGACTCTCTATGGGGGCATCAGAAATATTATTTACTCCAGGATTCTGAAATAAGATAGATATTTTATTTCATGGTTTTAAAAATTCTCTGAAGGTTTCTTTTATTTTTTTATTTTTTTCCTTTCCCATTTCTGGACATTGATATATTTCAGAACTTTTATGTGGCTTTTCCTCCCTCCCTACACCTATTCTCCCTTCGCCCCTCTTCCCCTTCCTGGAATGTAATTTTGTCTGTAAAATATGATGGTGAGCTGAAATGTCCCTGATGATCTATAGCGCTTCTGGATTTTTCACTCCCGTTGGTGACAGAAACTTACTAATTCTGATATAGGGGTCCCTGAGTGTGTTTCCACACTGTAGCTTGTGCTTTCTAGCATATTTAAAGTTTGGGTCCCTCACCCCACCTCAGTCCAAACACAGTTTCACATGAAGAACCAACTTCAAAACAAAACAAAAAAACCTGTAAAATCCCTAAAACTCAACTATACATTCATTTACGAAATGAAAAGAAAGTACGTACATGGGTTCTCATATTCACGTGATGAGTTTTGATGGAGAACCTAAGAGGAAGGAGATGGATTAATAGTAATGGGAACTTCTGGGTGAAGAACAGTGGAGAAAAGTCTTGGTGGTGGTTATTTCTCTTACGTTTAGTCTCAAACTCCCCAAATTCATAACTAATTGGTAGCACGTATTTAGAACTAATATTTGTAATGGGAGTTTTAAGTGAGGGCAGGTTTCTAGGCTATTTTCATAGAATTCACTTCCATAAAACAACAGGTAAAATATACACTTGGGGGCTAGCTTGAGAACCTCACCATTATAGCATTGATTTTACTGGAAAATAACTTCAGAGTCCTAACGTGGGTATAGGATGCTAGGGAAACAGTTATTCTTTCCTTCTTCCTCATTGTCTAAAACTTGTAAAGAGAGAAACTCCCTCTTCTGCTATGATCCCAGCAGCAAAAGAATTGGTCCTAACCCTACTTTAGATACAGGATCAAGAGTATAAATCCTTCCTGCTGCCCTCGCTGTAGTCATTATGTAGGGCATGCTTATAAGTTAGGTGTTTATAAATAGGGATGTGTAGTTAATCTCATTATTTGACTACTTTTCTTTGCTTACTGTTTATATAGACATCAGTCTAATGCTTTATTCTTTTGTCTGTCTTTCCTGTGTTTTCAGTGTGGTTTATAGGGGGAAGTTTTGACACATGACATGACTGCTATTATAAGAGAAAGCCTGTGGACTGGTGTCTAGTTTAAACTAGACTTTAGTAAGTAAATGAGTACTCATGTATAAACTGGTCCCTGCCCTAAAGGTGGTGACAGTGAATCTGGAGATTATTTTATGGAAGTCTTTCATTTTACAGGTGAGAAAGTGGAGACCCAGAAAGGGAGGTTATGTACCCAAAATGGTACCAGGTGGCAAAATTGGGACTAGAAGTCCTATCTCTTCACCCCAAGTCCTGTATTCTTTACACCATTAAGTTCCTTTTGTAGTTTAGAACTGAAGTCTCTTTGGGAAGGAAGGTCTGAAATAGAGAAACATTTAGTGACACTTTCTAGTCTGAGACTTCTGGAAGGACACAGGAGTAGGTAAGGAAGATTATCATTTATAATGACCATGAAAATCATGTGGAATCTCTTAAGATCCAGAATCTTGTCTGGAACTAAAGGAAAAGAGTAGAAGCCTTATGGGTATGGTCTTAGGCTTTAGTTCTTTTAGTGTTGAGAAACATTGTCTCATGGTGGAAGTGGGAATCTTTGATGACATTTCTTTGCAGACATCAGACACCCAGAGGAAGATGAGAACATTTATTGTCGACCAGTATTAGGCACAGTTGCCAGATAATTCCATACATGTTTTCTGGTTTCAGTGGTCTAACTGAGCTTTAGTATCAGGTATTCTCCATTCGGAAGATGGTAGATGAGAACAGTGGGGGATAGAGCCACAAGATGGCATATCTTGCTGCTTTCAAAGGTCATGCTTTTGAATAATTAATGGTAGGGGAAAGTATCCATGAACTATTCTTAAATTAAAAAAGGTAGGTTAAGAAACTGGGTATATACTCAGGATCCCAACCATAACTATTCATCAGAGTACTAACTGGTTATTTCTAGTGTTGGGATCAAGGATGATTTTAATTTTCCTTTTTATCTGTATTTTTACTGGTTTCTTTTTTATAAGTAATTAAAGAGGTTTTTTTTTTGGATATGGTAGAATTGATCAGCAAGTGTTAATAAATTGCTTGTGCCTGGGAACTATAAGCAAAGCAAAGGAAGAGTAAATATGGAGTTTCAGGGAACCTATATTGTAGTTCTGGAAGAAGACATACACATATGGAAAGTTTATTAATAATAAAAGCTGGAGTGCCTGGGTGACTCAGTTGGTTTAAGCATCCAACTCTTGATTTCAGCTCAGATCATGATCTCAGGGTTGTAAGTTCAAGCCCTGTGTTGGGCTTCATGCTGGGTGTGGAGCCTACTTAAAAAAAATAAAGCTATCAGTAAAACTATCATTAACTATTGAACGGTTATGTGGCTAATTAGGTTATGATAGAAAATCTCTAAATTTTTAATGTGTTATGGCTGTTAGTGAATTACATAAATTATTTCACTGAACCTTCCCAACAGACACATGGGGTACTTACTAATAGTCCTATTTTGCAGATGGAAAAACTGAAGTTGGGTGAATTGGGAAGCGGGGGAGCTAGGATTGACTCCAGAGTTCATGTCCTTAACCACAAATTAACACTACTTCCCAGGAAACCCTGTTTAGTTGGTAAATCACCTAGTGCTTATTGCTAGTGGGGAACTATAAGAGTGGCCCAGAGAGGAACAGATCGTTTCAGCTTGGTCAAGAGAAAGGAGAAGGATTAGGAGAGTCTCATCCTAGCCTTGGCATGATGGCAATTAGGTTCCTAACCCATCTTCCACTAAGATTTCATCTACTTATCAGTGAACCCAGCCTGTTGTCTCAGGATGATTCTGTGCAGCACTACTGAGTGTCTCTGCACCAAAACACATGAACCTGTTGCAGGGTTTATGTCAGGAGCAGGTGAAACAGGTGAGACCAGGCCAAGGTTAGAGAAGTGTCTTGGGAAGCTGCCTGTCTTCGCTTATGTCTAAAACTTCTACCTGCCCTTGTGAAGATTTTAGCACTGATTTGGGTGAATGTGGCCTGAAAGAGCACTTTTCCCTGACCTAACGGAATTAGCTTTTGGTTCACAGCCTGCACTGAGTCCATGGTGCCCCCACAATGGGCAAAACCACAGTGGCCATAGTAAGTGCTGTGGAATGTGTGTGTGTTTCATCTTTATCAAGAACGTCACATGGCATTTCCTGATTGCACGAGAGGCCTACTGCCCCATCTGAGTTTCCAGACTAACTACCATTGCTCAAGCCGCATGTGTTTATGGTATATAATAAATCTCCATTTGTCATAATGGTTTAAATTTAAAAGAAAAAGGTGAGCTGTGATGTAAAAAAAAAAAAAGGTTGGCTGTTATAAATTAACTTTCTTGGCGTTTCAGGTCAAGCCCAATTTATTAAGGGGGATACAAAAAGATAGAAACCTAGTCTGTGATCACAACTGTGATTTATCCACACCTTGAGTGGGTCCTCCTTTGGACCTTTTCTTGAACTGCAGCTGGCTTGGTTTATGTAGGACCTGCTGGGAGCTGAGGTTATAATGAAAAGCAGTTATTCTTTGAAATTACTCATAAGAAGTGGGCTCATTTTATCAAGTGCCCTCCTTAATTTGATTGTTAGGCTTTTCATATTTATTTTTCCTGCATTAATCACACTGTATCTTCGTGGCAAGTATAAACACAGTGGTGAAAGATAGCATTTAAAAGAAAAAACATTCAGAGGACAAATGTTTCTCTAGAGGTGGCCTGTCGGGACCCCTTAACGGGTAATTAAGAAAGTTATTTTGGATTTGGTAGTAATGTTGTGAACTTTTCCAGAGACTCCTCTTCAGAGCAGGATGGCATTTAATATTTTCGCAGATTAACCTTTAACTATAAAGAGTGTCCAGTATTGGGGCGCCTGGGTGGCTCAGTCGTTAAGCGACTGCCTTTGGCTCAGGTCATGATCTCAGGGTCCTGGGATCAAGCCCCACATTGGGCTCCCTGCTCAGCCAGCAGCCTGCTTCTCCCTTTCCCACTCCCCCTGCTTGTGTTCCCTCTCTTGCTGTCTCTCTCTCTGTCAAATAAATAAAATCTTAAA